AAAAAGCATACAGCAACGGAAAATCGGTCGAACCCGCCCTGTGAAGTCGACTTTGGAAGCTCTCCTACACAAAGACTCCAAGGAGGATGTTTTTTTCGAGTTCGAGTGGGCTTTTAACAATGCCTTTCTGGGATCAATTATCAAATCCCTTACTCAGCTTCGGGTTAAAACCGACATCGTTGGGCTCAAATCGCATGCCCCGTAGCAGAGCTCTTGCGGCGGATTGGAGTAATGCCATCATCCGGCATAAGGTAAACATGAGCGCGCCACAGGGTGTTGTCCCCTTAACCCCTCTTTGGACTGTGGTCGTTAACGACCTGCTCGAGGTACTAGCCAGTAAAGACTACTGGATGATTGGCTATGCAGTTGACGTAGCAATTTTAGTGAGGTAAATTTATAGCTAGCCTCCACGATTTGATCAAAGCGGTCTTGAACTGACTGGTGACTAAGTGGGTTGTGCTCGCGGCTCGTTCAGCTTTCGAAAAAGTATGTGACACTCCACGCGACTCTAGTGCAGGGGTGTCTACAATGAGCTGCTGATGCAGAGACGGCTTTGGTCAGACTTAGGGGCACGGGGAGCTTATTTCATTCAGGATTTGCACTCTTTGCAATTCTTCGAAACTTTGCTGTGTTCCTGATAACACGTTTTGCAGTTAACTTCGCTGTTTATGGTTTGGCAAGGATACGATACTCCCGAGTCGGTATCATCAAAAAAATATTGTTTGACTACTTCCGGACTACTCTTTGGCAGATGACACTGTTCGATGAGTACTCACAAGGTAAGACTAAATTTGCGAGGCTGTGGTTTAAACACCTTGAGTCGCAAAACTCATCTAGTCCTAAGGAACTCTGCGGGACAGACATCTGCCGTCTGGAAAACTTCGTTCTTGGCAAGCGTAGTGAAATCCCAGGTTCATGGGGGCAAATTGATTAATCAAGATTGTTGTAGATCGATTAATCGATCTCGGGAGATAACAAGTGGTCAACAGTTTTTGGCTCGAACTCACAATGGGGTGCCAACTCAATTCGTTAAGTCGATGAATTGGGTAATCAAAGATAAATGATTAAACAATATTTGTTTATGTAAACCGCTAGGAAAAGAGATCATCATTTTGACGTCTTATATCATGATAATATGTGAACGACTGAGTAAGTGAGTGTTTGAGGACGATTTTTGCATTTTCGCACAAAAACAATTGGACGTATTTCAATGAGATTTGGGACACGCGATATGTAGGTTACGATCGGGATTAACATGTGGATATTCTTTGGAGAGTGTTGCCACCTTTTTCAAGAGCTAAAATCAATTATTTAAAGTGTTAATTAAATATTCAGCATTGTGGGTGTCAAAAGAAAGGGATATAAAAACGATTTTTTTTCGAAATAGCTTTAAATAGGGTTGCTACCTGTTTAAAATATTGCAATTAATTAAAATAACAAGTTAAATGAAATGGGAGAGGTTAATTAAAGCTTCGAAAGTAGTTTTTAGTAGGGTTGACACCTGTTTTGAGTTCAAAATCACCTTAACAAGTTAAATGAAATATTTTATATGCCAATCGAATAAACGAGAGTTCTACGAAGCACAGGGTTGCCGTTTGTTTTGAAATCCAAGCTCAATTTATTTAACAAGTTAAATGAAATATTTTAATATGGCTGTCAAACGAACGAGATTTAAGCAAGCTTTATTTCTATAATATTTTTGAAGAGGGTTGCCACCTCCTTTAAAATTCTAGATCAATATTGTTAACAAGAAATATTTTAGTATATGCAGGTGTACAACGACGTGATTTAAGCAAGTTTTATTTGTGAAATATTTTTGAAGGGGTTAATTAACAAATTTCATGAAATTTTTCAATACATATTGGTATCCAACGGGAGAGATTTAAGAAAAGTCTAGTTTGGAAATATTTTTAATTTGCTTAGATATGCAAAATAAATTTAATTAACAAGTAAAATGAAATATTTTAATATTGGTTTCAAACGAGTGTGGTTTAAGAAAGGTTTCATTCGCAATTTTTTTGACGATGGTTGCCACCGGTTTAGAAATTCAACGTAAACATAACTAAATAGGGAAATGAAACATTTTAACAAGGGTATCAAACAAGAGAGTTTTAATTAAGTTTTACATGTATGTATATATATTTTTTTGGAGATGGTTGCAACCTCTTTAGAAATTCAAAGTTATTTTATTAAGTTGAATGAATTATTTTAATAGGGGTCAAACGAGAGAGATTTAAGTTAGCTGTATTTCTAAAATTCCTTTGCAGCTTTATTTTAAAAGTATGTTTGTAGGTTTTTATTTTGGCAGATTCAATTTTGAAATATTTTTGAAGGCATTGCACCAATTTAAAAGTTCCAGTTCTATTTAATGAGAGATTTACAGGTCTATTCTTCGCTGGTAATAAAAAGTTTGTAACCGGTAAATATTTAAACCCCTTATCGCATTCTGTGCATATTTTAGTTGGAAAGCATTTGCCCATATTTCAAAAATTTATTAGATGAACCTTTTCTGTTTATATTAAACAAAATCAATTTGGCATTGATATACAACTACAATGATATTCTTACATATAAAGACTATATACGACAGATTAATTTTTCTTTACACTAAAACGGCTGAATAAGTTAAAATTTGGCACAAACATTCACCATATCCTGGGACATAATTTTCGTCCCAGAATTCTTTTGAAAGGCAAATATCGATACTAGCTCGATTAAGGTCATAAAAGGAAAAGCATCAAAATGATCACTGGCACTGCTCTATAGCATTTGGTACAAGAGCTGTAATATTGGACAGCATAACCCTAAACCATACATACATATATCACGCGGACGGGGCCGCGGGCAACAGCTAGTTGTAAAGCATATCTAGCATATCAGGAAACAATTTGCTGTTGCGTGAGCGATAACGCTTTCAATAATCAGCTTGATGTCGATTTTTAAATTTTATGATGATACTTAATTGGTAAATATCATCGAGCAATATATAATTTTTTATCAAAAGATCTTAGGTTTGCTCAAGCAAGTAAATTTATAGACTATATGACTTCTTGACAAGGCATTATTGTGGCAAGAAAATTAATTTGAATTACGAATGTCAATCAGAAGCTAATCCCATTTAAGTGCACCTGCAAGCCTTATGTCATTGACTTACTCAAATGAAATTCACTAACCCTTACCTCCTATATCTTACATATATATTTATATATGTATGTACATGCACAGATATAGCTACTTATCAACGTCGCATTAATTTATACATAGGAACTGCACAGGTACATACGTACTTTCATACCTAAGAACATACATATCTACCTGGCTATCTGCAGTACTTAGGCAACCACCAACGAAATGGCTGGCGATTAGTTAAAAATTTTGCAGCACTCCTACAAAAAAAAATCACTGCCAATTGACATGACACTACTACTTACGAGTATGTCCCATTGTACAGTCGTTTGTCACCACCACCAGACGCCGCAAAAAATGCACGCTGTGTGGTTGGCGCCAAAGTTAAATACCATAAACTCATCACGTAAAAATAAAAGAAGTTTTAATGTACCTACTACCTGTGCGATAGAGAGAGATATGGCAAGAAAAAGTGGTGGCGTGATAATGGACTGCAAAAAAATAAAAAAATTATGCAAGTCATTTGTGTAAAGTTGCCGACTTTTCTGGTAAAGGNATTAATGGACTGCAAAAAAAATAAAAATTATGCAAGTCATTTGTGTAAAGTTGCCGACTTTTCTGGTAAAGGTGGTGAAGGAAAATCTAAGATTTTTTAAACATTTTGAATAATTACTAGAAGTCTTGATAGGTATTTTTTATATGTATTATTTGTAATCGCAAAAGTGTAACTACTTTCCATATAACATAACCCAGACACAGCGATATTGAAAACTAAAAAAAAATCTCAAAATAATTTAGTGTGATTGTAGAACATATTTAACTCAACTTAATTCTTAAATACAATTTCACTTTTTAAACGGGTTGCAACGCTATTCTAAAATATTATGGAAATAAAGATCTCTTTCTTCGTTTAAAATATCGCGAAAATAATCTAAAATCTGGCATACAGTCAGCGTCAATATATTCATACCCTGACGTTTTGACGATTTTATTTACTTATATTTTCCATAACAAATTTTTCAATTTTTTTTTTAAATATAGTTTATTCAACAGCAAAAACCACAAGAATCATTTTTTTAATTTCATAAATAACTCGCGAAATTGCAAGAAATACCAAGGAATTTTAAATTTTTTGAATTCGATTTTTTAGAAAAATTTTGAGTAGGCAGTTTTGTAGCCCATTAAATTTAAGTATGAATTGCAAGTTTTGAATCGCTAAAAATTACCGTTGATTTTTGATTTTTTTTGTTTTGTTGAAGGTGTTGAGCATTTTCTAACAAATAAAAAAAGATTTTGTTAATTTTTCTAAGAAATCGAATTGAAAAATTGAAATATTCTTCGTGTTTCTTACATTTTCCAGAGTGTTATTAATCCAGCTTATAAGTTGTTCTATTTCTTCGGCGTTTTAGCTTCATTACTAGCCACACAATTTCAATGAAATCGGTATTAGGTACCAAATTGATGCAGAAGATATATTGGTAAGAATGTGATCTTTAGGCCCAAAGAAATCATAGGTTAGGTGAGGTTAGGAGGGCGTGTGTGGAATAATCCATAATTTCACTCGGAGACGGAATTGTCCTTTGTGAGTGCCCACTTTTAGTGAGTGTCAGGAGGAGACACGTACCTAAATCGAAAGAGTAGTTTTAAGTCATTATTTTACTGAACCAATTGTTATCCCTGTTGCAGACTGTTGAAGAAGAGTGAACCCAAGTGCTTGAGTCGCTTTGTCTGTAGACCAGGACATCGACACTGATAGTGGACTCGTCCTCATTGGTGCTATAGCACAGTGTCCTTTGATGACGCCGGTAAGGACTCTTACTGCAGATCGATTGAGTTTCAGTACGACCCTTGCCTTTTTCCTACTCAGCCGCGGCAACAAAAATCTTGTGGTCTCACAGTCTTCCACAAGTCATTCGTCACGGCCAAGGTGTAGTCATTAATTTTCCTAACGTGATCACTAAACGGTGGTAGTACGGAGCTATCTCTGAGCCACATCTAGCCATCTCATCAGCCTACTCCGGGAACTCAGCAACAAATTTCCATACAATTTCCGATTTTACTATTCGAAATCGCATTGCTTCAGTGCTGCTGCTTGACTGTCGACAAACAGTGCCTTTGTCTTCTGGAACTCCACTAAGTAGAAGACTAGCCGCCCTCTTTATAGCGTAGATCTTCGCTTGGTAGACACTGCAGTCGTTCGCCTTCGAGTAGACACCAGCTCCGGTTCTTTGTTTTATCTATGAACCGTCAGTGTAGATGGATATACCTCCCTCTGCTACTGATAGTCTTGCATCCCATTTTTCTTTAGTCGGGAACCTAATAGGTATCTTCGTATTGAGGTTCCAAACAAGCGTAATGTAATCAGTGCTGAGTTCTATGTCAGCGTTAACTCCATTTAGCCGGCCCCCTCTCATTTCATTCGGTATTCACTACTTTTTATTGCTTTATGGAGTTCTCGCCTTTAAGAAATTGCTAGATAGTGTTGCACTAGCTAGGATGGTAGAGTGCATACAGCGGGCTGCCCCTACGTCGGAATTTTTTCTACTTAATTAGATTTAGAAGGATACTAGGCCATAGTTTTATTGCAGATACCCCCGAAACGTTATCACCGCACAAGGAACGGGTGTGAGCATGGTGATTATGGCATTCGCAATTACAAGATGGATGGGACGGTATTAAATGAGCTACCTAAACCTGCAGAGCTACAGTTCTCGCTTTCACTGGGGGTTTCTAAAAAATACAGTCACAAACTCAATGCTGAGGGATTCGAATAATCAGTATTCGATGTAATTGATTTAAAATTTTCAATATATGAAGAATCGCAGAGCAGAGTGAATATCTCTGTACGTCTTCGAAGAATAAGTAATGACAACTCGCAAGAGGTCCAACGGTGGTTCTGAAAAAGTCGCGTAATTGTCCTGAAGTGATCTCGAAACGGTCTCTTACTATTCCCAAAATGATTTGAACTAGTCCCGAAATGGTTCTGCAACAGTCGTGGACTATCCCCGAAATCAATTAGAAATAGTCATAAAAATAGTCCCGACATGGTCTTCAAGTAGCTCCGAAACAGGTCCCGGAATTATACTGAATTAGGACAGAAACGGTCCTGAACATGCCCCGAAACGGTCGAAAAGGTCAGGAACTAGTCTCGAAATGGTCCTGCAACAGTGGTGCATTATTCCAAAATGGTCAGCCCGGTCCCGAAACGATACCGAATTAGGCCAGAAACGATCCTGAACAGACCCCGAAACGGCCGAAAAGGTCGTGCACTTGTACCGAAATGATCTCAAAGAAGTCTTAAAACGATCCAGTCCCATAATGATGCTGAGCTAGTCCCAAAATTGGCCTAAAATAATGCTGAACTATTCTTGAAATTGTCCCTAACTACATAGTCCCCCAGATTACTCACACTCAACGCAGCATTCCGACGGCGCATAAATAAACGTAACATATGTACATGCATATGTGCGCATGCACTTGTTTTTTTTTTATGCACAAGTTGTGCTGCGATGCGAGACTCACTCCAATTCCAGCAGCATTGCTCCCGCCAACAACCACAAAGGTGTGACATTCAATGGCGGCAACGCACTGAGGCAACCAACCATGCGGCATTGAACGAAACGTGCTGGTCATGCAATTCAACCAGCTGGAGGTATTTTACGTACAAATATATGCATGCAGTCGGATAGGCATATGGGTACTAAATGCCTGCATGAAGTCTCCAGTCGACTGCTTGGCTCCTCTTAAGCGCTTCGGCTGCTGGCTTGCCTGTCTAAAGTGCGTTCCCATGTAAATTAGTGTGATTTTATTTGATTGTCTTTGGCGGGGGGGTTTGCTTTGCTTTAAAGGCTTGTTTGTAGTTGTTGTTGTTGTTGTTGGTGGTGGTGGTGCTGGNGTGCACAAGTTGTGCTGCGATGCGAGACTCACTCCAATTCCAGCAGCATTGCTCCCGCCAACAAGCACAAAGGTGTGACATTCAATGGCGGCAACGCACTGAGGCAACCAACCATGCGGCACTGAACGAAACGTGCTGGTCATGCAATTCAACCAGCTGGAGGTATTTTACGTACAAATATATGCATGCAGTCGGATAGGCATATGGGTACTAAATGCCTGCATGAAGTCTCCAGTCGACTGCTTGGCTCCTCTTAAGCGCTTCGGCTGCTGGCTTGCCTGTCTAAAGTGCGTTCCCATGTAAATTAGTGTGATTTTATTTGATTGTCTTTGGCGGGGGGGTTTGCTTTGCTTTAAAGGCTTGTTTGTAGTTGTTGTTGTTGTTGTTGGTGGTGGTGGTGCTGGTGTATCGACGGATTTGTTATTTATAGTACAAAAACGTGTATTGTGTAGTGCGTTTTTTTTTTGTTGCCACTTTTTCGAAATGCCTTCATGTCGTTGTGTGTGATGCTCTAGAAGGGTTAAGGGATTAAGTATGCAACAGGAATGAAAGGATCTCCCAAAAATTTTGTTTGAGATTAATTAAATTTATGTAAAGTAACAAAGAAATAAAAAAAAGATAAGAAGTTTTTATAATGTACATATGTATGTATGTCTGTTTGTATGCAATTTAAGGCAAGTGAATCACTGCTTTTAATTTTATCAAATGCTCAATATGTCTGCTTCCGAGATATAAGAACCATCGCTCTTACAATACATTTTCCTTACCTGACTTATGAGATCCTTAGGAAATTGAATGCCGCCGCCTTAACCAATTAGCTTTAGGGATTATAATATCGACCACCAGAAATGATTAATAATTGGAATCTAATATGCCCGCCATTTAATCAATCAACAAATTACCGAAAATCGAATTAAATGCAACCCACTAGATAAAAGAGTTCGTGGTAGGCACGAAGGACAGTCGTTCATTAAAGTACCCATTCACCATTGGGCCGATCTGGATATTGTTCCGTAACAGAGACTCAGAGAGGATGTCTACGATAACCGCTCAGAGTGCCTTCCTGAGAGATATAGGTACTCTCTTCACTGTAAACCCTGAAGCTATACGCGGGATACGTTGCACAACAGCGAATCCTAGTTGGCTTGAGGGAGGCATTTCATTACGGGCAGCCAATGACGCATTGATGTGTAAACATCTTAGCCCTCGGTATGCGTAAAATTTTCGTTAACCCAGCAGAAAATCTTTAATTGCTTCTTGGTGTGTACAAATTAACATTTCTGGCCTAGTTTGGGATCATTTTGGCACCTGTTCAGGATCACTGCGGGACTAGTTAAAGAGAATTTGGGAACAATTCGTGTCCAGTTCTGACCATTTTTAACCAGTTAGGGACCCATTTCGGACACGCTATGTGACTAGTTTAGGACCATTTGAAACTAACTCAAGGCTTTTTCAGGACTAGTTCCGAACCTTTACGGGACCACTTTGGGGTATGCCAAGTCCATTTCGTGACTTATTCTAGATAATTTCAGGACCATTTTGGGCTATGTCAGCACCATTTCGAGACGTATTCTCGATCATTTAGGTTAATTTCGGGACCAGATCAAGTCCATTTCGCAACTGTTTCAAGTCTAGTTGATAACCATTTAGCGCCTAGCTCAGGACTATGTCAGGACCCTTTCGGGACTAGTTGGGGCCATTTCAGGGGAATTTTGGTACTAGCTCGGGATCATTGACGGACGATAAGGGACCATTACGGACCAGCTCTAAATATAACAACAGATTTACACAGTCGCGGTTGGTTGGAATTTTTTGTGACAGAACTTTAAACTTTTTAGAATTACATATCCCTGGTAATGACGTTAGACGCCAGCGAATCTAGCTAGGGCTAGGAAGTTCATACATAGAGCTACCGAACGATTTGAACGTTTTTCAAGAATACAGAGACATACAAAATATTATAAAGAATTTAAAAGGTTCAACTTTTCACCTTTGAGAGTAAAACAAATGCGAAAAAATTTCAACTCGCAAAAAATATAACACGCGTTGAGAATCTGGCAAGTCACTTAAAGTTACGAAAGTAATATAGTTACACAAAGAAATTTACACGAAAAAACTGCGCGCTAAACGAAGCTATAATGGAAGTCTCGCAAAAAAATACTAAATTGCTTGCAGCACTTCAAAAAAATTATGAACGCCTTTCTGACACTTGCAGATCGTGCATATGCCGTGCAGGCTGTGTATGTTTGTAGCTGTCAATTTTGGCAATTATTTCATATTTTCTACATTCTCGAACATACGGCCATTTGTCACATTACACTGGCCATTTAACCTGACTGGCTGACTGGTTGACTGACTGACTGACTGAGTGAGTGAATGGAGTGCCAGTGGCGACTACATACATACCTGGCAATTTCCACTCGAGTATGCTATCAACAGCTGACAATGGGGGAACAAAAGAAAAAAAAAACCCGACATAAAAAATTGGTATAAATTGCACATTTTAAAGTCCATTAAAAGAGGAGACAAATAATTATTTACAACCGCATCACCCGAAAATTCCAATACCAATTAAGTGAGAAAAAAACGACAGAAGTGAGGTAAAGGCGGCAGGCGGAGTAATGAGAAGAAAAAATGGCAAAAACTCGAAAACTCGACGAATGAGCAGCTGGGACAATTATGTATTTCCATTATTTTTATTTTTTTTTTTTTGCCTGAGTACCGTTGGACATTCGATAGCAGTTTGCAGATCAGGTGCGCAGCGAGCAACCAAGTTGGAGACATGCGGTCGAGGTCATCGGGCAGGTTGCGTGCGTGGAGTTCGATCATTTAAGCGCCTGACGGTGCGGAAAGTGATTTTAATTGCCCTTAAGACGGGCGGCTGTGACTGTGAGAAGCACAGAAAGAGACAGGCAGATTGAAAGGGCCTGCTGCCACTTCGACGGACTGTGAGTCAACATAATTTTGCGTTGGCAAATTAATTTACAAAATTTCAAAAATGTGTCCTCGTCGCAAAATTCTGCATACCGCTTTTGAGAAGCGGCAGTCAAGTGAAGGTGACACTTGAAAACTTCAAAAAAGAA